GGTTGAGGATTTCCTGGCTGAAATTTGAGAAGTATCTTCTTTATCAACAGTTTCACAAATTCATTTTTGCATGTTTGTCAATAAAAAAGTTTCGTCTAACGCTTCCTGAGAAGTTCTAACGTCGGCCGCTGGTACCATATGGCCTCTATCATAGCCGGATTTAAAATAGTCTTTCAACTTTGCGCGGTATATTTCGGGTACGTCTAAATCTTCTTGAAAAGTGGATTTACCACGTTCTACGCCTTCGTTGCGTTTGAGAGAATCTTTAGTTATATGTTCAAACGCCCAATCTGGATGACGCAGTTGCCGATTATAAGACACAAAGTAGGCTTTTCTTGGCAATTGATCATTGATTGGTCCTTCAAATTTGGCGGTATAAAAAATAATTAGCATACAAAGGAGTTAAGTAGCTGATTTTGCTTTCATAGAAGAAAAAAAGACGTACCAGGATAACCGTAAGGAATGGATGTAGGAACGGGTGTAGGAACTGGTGTAGGAACTGGTGATAAAACTCCCTTTTCTGGAAGCCGCACAGGTGAGGATGTTTGTCTATAGTATAGAGTAGAAAAGATACCCAAGGCTGTGCCGCCGATAATCAAAGAAACGCGTTCTAGCATTCGCCGCGACATTACCATTTTTCTATACGAAATTGTATGAACACTTCAAAAAGAATGATGAAGTTTGTTTTTTGATTATCTTTAGTTACGAATTGCTTAATGGATACGAATAGCATTGAAGAGAATAAAAGCGCTCTTACACGATGCGAAAATTTTAAGTCGCGTACAAATCAGAACCTTGATTTATAGGTCAGTTTTGAAAACGAATGTCAAATATTTATTCGTCCAAAAACTAATTTATGACTAAATGCCACGATTTTATAACGAAATAAAATTCCCATTAGCATTTAAACTAGAATTTGAAGGGTCGAGAAGGCAATTCCGAAATTATGCCAATTTTCTCACGCGTCATGTTTAAAGCTCAAACTAATGAACTCCAAACACAACTTAAAATACATGCGTGACCTCTCTTTTTATACTAACCTACGGGTTTCATTTGGTTCTGTCAAGGGTGTTGAGAAAAGTTTTCTTTATGTAACTAATATGGAAAACCGAAAACAGCTTAAATATGTGACGCACGTACACACATACATGCATAACACGAACTTCCTTTTTAATGTGAAAACCTGAATCCTGTCAGATGAATCTTATCTGATCATTGTCCGGATTTAAAATAATTAAATCTTCGCGTTTATGTTTTCCTTTCGACCCGTACGTGTTACTACCCGTTACGCAAGATTATTCCCTCGCACTAAAGTTCCGTTTGCCCTATCGAATACGCAAACTGCTTTATCAGATGTTTTGATAATAAACAAAATCCATCCTCAAATTGATCGTCCGAGGCTTCTTTCACTTACTTCGAAGGTTCCCGCAGAACAAACGACACCGTTTTCCACCAAGCTACGAAATTTTATTTCGGGATCGTTTGGAATCATCGCCGGGCTTTTCCTCTTTGAATATTATTATGATTCAAGGGCGTCGATTCATAAATATGTTATTATGCCAATATTAAGAACCGTTGTCGATCCTGAGCGTAGTCATAATCTTGCTGTGTGGGTGGCAAAATGGCGGTTAACACCCAAAGACAAAATTCCAGATGATGAAAAATTATCCGTGAAGGTAAGTAATATAATATGTCACTTGATGACATTTAGTGCATATTTCGTTGAGTTAACAACTAACTTAAATTTTATTAGGTGTTTAGGAAAAAAATTACAAATCCTGTTGGTTTGGCAGCAGGC